CTCCCTGCTCGGCGGGGAGTCTGCTTCTCCCTCTGACCCTCCTCCCTCTCATGCTCTCTGTCTCTCATTGTCTCTCTCGCAAATAAATAAATAAAATCTTAAAAAAAAAAAAAAAGAAAAGAATTGTGAAAAAGGATTCTATAAATTATGATGACATTCTGTAATGAGATACTAAACATTAATTTAGCAGATATTTTATATGATCTCAAATAGAATTATGCATCATTGAAAAGAAAGGGTGACCCTGTCCCAGATTTTTTTCTTTTTGTTTTAAATTTTTTGAAGTACTGCATAGCAGTTACTAGTCACACAAACCCGAGTTCCCAGCTGATGTGGTCTTTGCCATGACAGAGAACCTGCCTCGCTGTGGGGCACTGGAGTGCTTGGTAAATGATGTCCCGGACGAGGCCTGGAATGAGCGTGCGGTGAACAGAGTCAGTGCAATCCGATTTCTGGAAGATGAAAGAGACGAAGAAGACAATGAGACGGTATGGAAATGGAGATTGTTGGCCTCCCTGAAAATTCAAAATTTAAAACCTTTCCAAGATCAAGAGTGGCACCTAATAAGGATTTCTGTTAATTTCAAATTGTTCTCTGCTTTGCCTTTAGCATATAAGAATTTTTTTAGAAGACAAAATTAGGTATTTCTAGGTACTGATTCACCAAATGTATATAAAGCAAATGGAACTTTTGGGTTTTTTTCTTGAATAGTTTATACTCTTATTCTTTATTTGTGATAGTATCCCTTCTTGGCTCCACAAAACTGATTGGGAATTTGTTCTGTTTTTGTTGTTCTTGGTGAATGAAGTCTCTTTCCCACCACCATTTAGAGGTGTACCATGATGACTCCATTCACACTTCACAGCGTGACTTGGCTTGCCTTCTGTGGAGCTGTGCTTCTCTCTCTCCTTTATGTAATCATTGTCTTCACCCTCAGGCGGAGTGCTTGCCATCTTAGTTGGGCTAATTTACAAGTTTTCATCCAAAAATCAGGAATAGATTTGAAAGTACTACTTAGCCTTACTCTAATTTCCAAGCACATACCCACACTTTAAAAAATGTCTCTCGGCCTGCCGAGGTCTCCAGGAGTCCGTGACAACTCTTGAAATATTACTACAAGTTGACTTGGGCGTCTTAAACTCCTAGTGCTGAGATTTTCATAAGCGGAGCTTAGAGAGAGTACCTGCAGCCCCCAAAGCAAAAGACTGCCTGTGGTCTTTGTTATTCCAGCTGTCACCAAATGGGATTTTATGTGTTTACTGTAGTGGAGCGCAGAATAGGAATTAGGCACGACCAAGTGACTTCAGCAGAAAGGAGTCATCAGTGCTTACCTGGTGGCTTGCTGGAGGGTGAGGATTTCACCAGTTCCTTCACTGCCTCAGTAGTGAGTGCCCTTGCGGTGTTGTGTCACCCTTCTCTAGGCTCCTCCTCCTGAAACTCCTGGACAGGCCATTTACAAGACGGAAATGCTGTCTTAGGAGCCAGAGAGCACGGGACATGTCAGATAATACAATTTTTTAAAGATTGTCCCTTCCCTGACACTTCACTCCCAGCACTGTGGCCTTTATTAGAAGAATGTGAACTCTCTTTAGTAGGTAATATGAATAACACACACAGCAGCGAAGTCAGAAAAGAAGCCCTTCTCTCTCGCTTCCCTTTTCCTTCCACTCCCATTTCGCCAGGGTTGAAGGAAGCCAGAACCACTTAAGATAGTAGTAGACCACTGCAGTGATTTCAAGTTGGAATTTGTTTACCCCTTTATCTTTTTCTTTCTTCACACCCCACACTAACATCTTAAAAATCTTTGTTTCCTTGCCCTTCATGGAACTTTATTTTTATCTTAAGCTAATCTTACATTTTACAAAGTACTCTTTTATTCTGAAAGTAATCCTTCTATGTGGACTCGGTAACTTACACGCGATACCTTCATCTTCCACGAGCTGCTAGTAAGCAGCTCATAAGCGCACAGGGCTCCAGAAGAGGCGCTTCCGCCCCTCTTAGCTCCTGCGCCCCCGCGAAAGGAAGCTTTGTCCCCGAGTGCCCCCACCTTGAAGCTGCGTGTTTGAAAGCGGAATGGCATAAAACCCACACACTCACTCCCCTGCTTGTTTTCAGAGAACACTTCTGCGGCGAGCCACTCCACACCCAGGGGAGCTAAAGAACATGAAAAAGACAGTGGAGAATTTACGGAATGACATGAATGCTGCTAAAGGACTGGATTCAAACAAAAACGAGGTCAATCACGCCATTGACCGAGTGACCACTTCTGTATAGAATTCCACCTCCGAATTTTACCTCCCGTGTCTTCCCCTGCTGTTGAGATCCTGTCTCCTTCCTCCCCAGGAGCCTCCCGCAGTCCTGGGGCTTCCCCGGAACGTGGGCACGTGCGCGTCACCGCCCAGGAACGTGGGTGCGTGCGCGTCACCGCCCCAGAACGTGGGCACGCGCGTGCGCGTCACCGCCCACGCCGCGCGCTGGGCTGCTGCTCTCCCGATGGAAGTGCCTTACTCCGGCTCCTCAGCCAGTCAGGGCAGCCAGTGCGCCCCCGGTGTGCCGCCTTTCCTCTGACTTCCAGTCATTTGTCCCAAGTAGAATACACTACTGTAAACATCTGACCTTTGTTTCTGTCTTATGTTGGGGTAAGGGAGTGCAGGAAGGGGAATTTTGTTGATCCTCCTCCCTCCCGTAAAGTGCTGGGACATTTTGAGCCCAAGTTCTCTTGGACCTACTGATGAGAGAGAGTTTTATGTATGGGGCATAACTGATCCTTTTTAAAAAAAACTTTTTGGCAGCTCAGATGGTGTAAATTTAAAAATTTTGTATAGGTATTTCGTAGCAAAAAAAATGTGTTTTTCTTTTTTGTTATTTTATCTTGGAAACGGTACATATTTTAGTATTTGTGCAGAAAAAGAAAAAAACAGTCCTAAAGTATTTGTTTTCACTTGTACCATCCACTTGTGCCTTACTGTATCCTGAATCATGTCAAACCAGTTGTACGCAGTGGCATCCTTGAGCGGTGAGATGAGACTAGGAATGTGCTACTTTTAAAGCAGTGTTGGATTTTAATCAGTAATCTACCTGGTGGATTCGTTTTTAACCAAAAAGAAGAGTTACCACCAATTTGTAAATTTTATCAGTTGATTTTTTTTTTTTTTTAAAGATGAACCAAAGGATTAGACTGCTAATATTTCATGTCTTACACTTTAACTTTTTACGAATGAGTCTCTTATGAGTGCAGTGTCTGATTGTAGCTATTTGGAAGGTATATGCCATTTGTAAAATAAAATAGATCAGAAAAGCACAAAAGGAGAAAACCGGTTCAGAAATTCAGTGGATAAATGAATTATGTACTGCAAAAGAAAGTATGATTTTTATGGAAGAAAGCTTTAAAAGTTTTATAATGAGATATAAAACCACAATAAAGCAAAATAACCATATTAGAAATGTTGCTATCTTTGTAAGTGCAATTTAATTTGTAAATAGAGTTTGAATCAAAGTATAACAAATCCTTGCTTCAAGTTTTAATTTTAAATCTGCTAATTTAAGGGGCATGGGGGTATGTTTTGGTGTGTTTGATTTCCTTTTTTTTTTTTTTTTTGGTATAATGTCATAAAAGAGAAATGAAAAGTGCCAGTCACTATGTGGTATCTAGGAAAATCACGATATTGTTGGTTTTTTGTTTTCTCTCCATGAAATAAAATCACCCTGTAATTAACCATACAACTTTTTAAAATTAATTATCACCTTGTATGTTCAGATGGTGGCAAGTAGCTGAGTTCTTTGACGATGCACTCCCATCCATTAAATATCTAAACTACTGGTCAGTTTTGAGTTAATTGCTTGCCGTTTTGCACACAGCACAGACCCCAGAACTGCCTTTCTCTCTGGCTAATAACTTTGGGTTGTGGCTGTCTGGCCAGTTGGACTCCATAGAAACCTGCTTTCAACCAACCAAATACACCTTCTATTACAGCTGTGCATTTACTTACTGGGTTCATTTTGCTTTTTAAGTTGTTTGTGTGTGTGTGTTTATTTATTTATTTATTTTAAAATCTATTTATTGAACTGGAGGTACCATGGGTTATAAGTGGTTTTTGGCTAGTCAGTTTCATACCTTGCTCCCCAGTCTGTGAGTCCCTGTTTGGTTTTTCTCCATTTTAAGATTTTGTCATACTCTGCTTTAGGCCCGTGAAGATGATGCCACTAAACTCATGGACTGATAAGCAAATTCGTTTTATTTAAGGAGAGTAATTTTGATGCTAAAGAACAAATAGAACTTGAATGGTGTTTTTTGTTTGTTTGTTTTCATATACAGCCCACCCTTTACCACTCAGTTTATCCTGGCTTTTGGGGGAATGTAGTGGGCAGAATAGAGGGTGTGCTTAAATTTTTCTAGGAAATTTTATGTAGGTAATTATCTGTTTTCTTTGGCTGCCCTTCTTTACCACACGTTCACCTGTTTTGTTTGTGTGTTGTTCTGTTTTCAGTTCCTGGGATTTTGTTTTCCCCTTCCTTGCGAAGGGAAAAGTTACTTTCATTTTACTTGTTCGTGCTGGGTGACACTGCTGTGCCCTTTGCCTTCAGGGTGCGGGGACCAGGCTTACACCTCATGATGGAAACAACATCAACCAAAGAGATCCAACTCAAGAACATGCCAGTCTTTCCCAGTGAAGCCTCTCTTGTCATTAGAAGGAAAACCTAATTATGCGAAAGGATACCTGTCCCTTGTGAGGCTAGTGCCAAAATTTCCTGACCTTTGCCTAGCGGAGCACTGGCGGCCCCCACCCCGCAGTCTGGCCCTTCCTTCAGGAAAGGGAGGAGTTCAGTGTATGGCCTGCCTGTTTGTATTGTGGGAGTGACAGGTAAAAGCAGGAAAGATTATTATGACCTGTTCACCCACTTTTTTTTGTGGCCCCTTACTTCCTGTTTTTAGCCAGGGAATTATGCCTAAGTGGATAAAATAGAAAAAAAAAAAATTGGGTTGAAATAATGGAAGTCACTGCTGGAAAAGAGGTACAGGTAAGAAAACTAGAACCATTTGCCTGGATGTTGTGTTGTTGTTTTTGTTTTCTGGGCAAGTTTGGAGGCGTGGTCCTGACCAACCCAATCTTTCTACCTAAAAACTTCTTAGGTAGCTGTCCCAGGTAAGGAAGCCCAGGTGGAGGTGCGGGTGCAGCCTGCCAAAGCAGCCTGCCGCCTCTTGGGAAATCTCCCAGGCCTGAGAAGACACGCTTCGTGGGTGGGGTGGAGGCTGGGAAAGATTCTGCCTTCGTCTGAAAGGTACTCTGAACAGCCAGGTCTCACCGTGTAAAAGTGACCGACACCCACTGAGGAGGGACAGCCCTGCAGCTGCTTATTCGTAGAAGGCGGTCAGGGTTCTTGTAGCTCAGCGACATCGGGGAGAGTTGAAATCTTGCTCCAGCAATTCATATCAACTCACACAAATTTCCAAAGAACCAATTCAAAAACTACACACACACACACAAAACCCACAAAAACACCCAAACTTTTTTTTACAGATAGTCAAAAACATACAAAAGTAGAATTAATAATGAACCCCCATATACCTATCACTCAGCTTCAAAAGTTATCAACCCAAGACCTAGCTGTTTTAAAGGAACCGAATTATGTTTTAAAATACATCCATAAGGGGCACCTGGGTGGCTCAGTCGGTTAAGCATCTGCCTTCGGCTCAGGGGCTCAGGTCATGATCCCGGGGTCCTGGGATTGAGCCCCACATAGGGCTCCCTGCTCAGTGGGGAGCCTGCTTCTCCCTCCCCCCTCTGCCTCTCCCCCTCCTTGTGCTCTCTTGCTCTCTCTCAAATAAAATCTTTAAAAATAAAAAATAAAATATATCCGTAAGAAGACTGCACAGTGAAATAATTTAAAAACTTAGGAAAGGCAGGGCACAGATACGCCCTTTAAAGTAGCACCTTGGAGTTAAAGGTTTTTCAAGCATAGCCCAGCACTGGCATCATGTAGATACGGGTTTGAATCCCAGCCCCTCCATGTGGCTTTGGATGAGCTACTTAATGTCACCGGGCCTCAGGTCCCTCATCTCTAAAATGGGGCAGTAAGACTTCTCACAGTCTTAGAGTGGGGATTAAGTGGGAGACATGAAACATCAGCTCTCCGGAAGTGAGTGGCTGCTATTATTACAGGTCTTGCTGTTGTTAAACAGTGTTATTAGCAGCTCCGCAGTCCCTACCCGAGCCAGCAGTATGTGATCACGAGTGCAGTGTCCCTCAGAAATGAGGGCACCACACTGGCTCTCTGGCAGAGAAAACTTTCTCACCTGTGGGTGTCGCATAGAGACCCTTGAGTTACATAATCGGGGAGGGAAATCTTAAATTGTCACGTCAGCTCACTTAATGGGGAGGTTAGCCATGGTCTCACAGCAGCCCCCTCTTTGTAAGTGGACTTACTAGCTGGCTAGCCTCAAGATGAAGCTGGTTTCTACAAGAAAGCATTAAACCTCTGACTGAGAAGAGGGTCTCTCTGCATTTCCGCACAATGTCCTCAGGTTTCTAAGGTCCGGGTCTCTTGTGCTCATTTACTGTCTTACGTCTACTTTATTTCATTTTGATTTTCATTACTTCCTCCTTTTCTGTCTCCTTTCTCAAAGGGAGACCTCTGAGGCCTTTATGTATCAGGAGGGGAAGGTGGATTTAAGAAATAGGTCATCCATGGAGAAAAACCGGGATACAATAAGTAAATGCAGCCCGATTTGGGGAGTGGAGAGGACACTCCCACCTTGCTGGAGCTTTTTCTTTTGAAAAGCTGACAGCTGCCGGGAGAGGGAAACCGACCAGAAGAACCTGATCGGGTTACTTTTGTTCAGCAGGTTGTATGGAAGGTTGGAGAAGAATGCTTGTGCCTCACAGTCCGCCGGAAGGACGGTGTCATTTTAAACTGCGAGAGTGGGCAGTCAGTGTGAGAGACCAAGGCCCTTGAGTTCTGACTGGGTACGAATCTGATGGGGCTGATCCTCCAAGGACCTTTTGAGGCATCACCATTTAATTTCTAAAACCAATAATGAGCCGTCCCTTTGGGGTAGCGACATGGTGGTGACAGTGGCCCTGCTTACTGAGCACTCACTATGTGCCAAACACCAAGCTAACTGAACACAGTCTCAGTTTTTCGGAACAACCCCCTGACGTAAGTGGTGACGTCCTCATTTCACAAAGGAGAGAATTAAGATTCAGATAGTTTTAATAACTTTTCCGTGATCAAATAGCACACGACAGAGTTGGAATTAAAATTCACATCTCTGTTGACCGGAGTCCGTGGTTTCGATTATTGCTTTATTTTGCTTTGTCCCCCTCAGTCAAAATACGGTGAACCTGTAATTATATTTGGAGTTGTATTTATCATTGTGGTCAGTTCTGTCTTAGTTTAAGATTATTTAAGCCTAGATTATGGACAAAGCCTGGCACAGGACCGAGTGAAGTTTAGCCACCATTTACGTCGACTGGGACCCTTCATTTGTGTCTAGTTGTGGTAGCCAGTGCTGTGAGTTTACACCCTCCAACACTCCCACTACCCCCATGTCCCCCCCACCCCGTCTCCCCTGCCCACTCCATATTATGTTGTTCCTTGGTAAGTGCCATGGAAATGTTCATGGGATCTTTGTCCTACCCTCTCAAACTGTGTGCAAATCTCAAGAGACGGGAGATAAATTATTTGGCTAGTGGGAGGCCGGAAAAAAAACTTGGTATGTTTTTTAACATTGACTGAAGTGACAGTTTGGTAACCAGCTCTCCGAGAGAGCTTTAACACGTTCCAAAAATTGGCAGGTAGCTCTAGAGTGAGCTAATTAGTTAGGAATGATTTTTAT